TCACTTAGCAACAACTTTCCTCATTCTTCTTGCACTAAGAGTTATTCAGTAAAAACCCTGGGTTTTCATTTTGACTAAAGCTTTCACATCTCCCCTCAGCAACTGAGTGAGGTGGATTTTTAGATCCAGCTGGCATTGCCATACCGGTTTCCTCAGCTTTATCTCACGTATCAGGCCACTGCCACCCAGTGTCCCAGAGGCACTGCAGTCTAGTTTTCCAGCCCTTCACTGTGCAGATACATTTTCCACACACCTGTGTGCCTGTCAGGGGCAGAAGCTGGGGAGGACTGAAGAGACTTCCTGCCTGTGTGGAGCTTGAATTCTAGTTGGAGGGTCTTCTCCTCAGATGGTGTCTGGGCCAGCATTTCCCTGCCCTGTCCTAGACTGCATTTCTAATCAGGACCCCGCCCCACCCCTGAGACCTGGGGACCTAGAAATGCCCCTGGCTCAGCCAGCCCTTCAGAGCAGACCCAGGGCTTGTCTGCTCACGTGGGGCTTCCCCGGAGGACAGGGATCCTGCCGGGCACATTCTAGGTCCCTCCGTGCCCAGTGAGTGGTCCTCCGTGATTCTGACACCAAAATAAACTGTGCTTTATCATACTGAAGATCAGAGTCTGCACCAACAGATTCTCTATAGTAGGATAATGAAATTGAAGATGTAATTAAAAAATTACCAACTAAGAAAAGCCCAGCCCCTGACTGATTCACTGCTGAATTCTACAGGAAATGTGAGAAGATCTAATGCCACTAATCTCAAATCCTAATGAAACTGAAAGGGAAGCAATACTCCAAAATTCATTCCTGGAAGCAAGCATTACCCTGATTTCAAAACCAGAGAAGGATCCAACCAAAAAGGAGAATTACAGGCCAATCTCCCTAATGAACATAGATGCAAAAATCCTCAATAAGATACTGGCAAGTGGCATGCAGCAAATCATCATACACCATGACCAAGTAGGGTTCATCCCAGGGGTGCAGGGATGGTTCAACATATGCAAATCAATAAATGTAATGTACTGTATTAAAAGAGTCAAGGACAAAACCCATATGATCCTCTCAATAGGTACAGAAAAAGCATTTGACAAGATCCAACACTCATTCATGATAAAAACCCCTACAGAAGACTGGTATAGATGGGTCTCTATCTCAACCTGATAAAAGCCATCTATGACAAACCAGCAGCCAACATCATACTAAATGGACAAAAACTGAAAGCTTTCATCCTAAAATCAGGAACAAGACAAGGATGTCCACTGTCACCACTCTTGTTCAGTATAGATCTGGAAACATTAGCCATGGCAATTAGATAAGAGAAGGAAATAAAAGGAATAAGGATAGGAAATGAAGAAGTTAAGTTGTCATCATTTGCAGATGACATGACACCTTACATAGAAGACCTTAAAAGCTCCACCAAAAGACTTTTAGATTTGATAACCAAATTCAGTGGCACAGCTGGATACAAAGTCAACACTCAGAAGTCAATAGCCTTCCTGTACATGAATAACAGACTCAGGGAGAGAGAAATTAGAGAAACAATCCCTTTCACAGTAGCACCCCCAAAAATGAAATACCTAGGAATCAATCTAACAAAGGAAGTAAAGGACCTCTGCATTGAAAACTACAGTACTCTGAAAAAGGAGATCGAAGAGGATATTAGAAAATGGAAAGACATCCCCTGTTCTTGGAAAGGAAGAACCAATATAGTGAAAATGGCCATACTTCCAAAATTTTTATACAGATTCAATGCAATCCCAATAAAAAATCTCAACAGAATATCTCACAGAATTAGGAAAAAACATCCTAAAATTCATTTGGAACCAGAAGAGACCTAGAATAGCAAAGGCAATTCTGGGCAACAAAGGCAAGGCTGGGAGTATCACAATCCCTGACTTAAAATTATACTACAAACTGACTGTGGTAAAAACAGCACGGTACTGGCAAAAGAACCAGACCTACCTCAGGATCAATGGAACAGATTAGAAGATGCAGAAACAACTCCAGACATACTCAGCACCTTATCTTTGACAAAGGAACTAAAACACCTTCGCTGGAAGAAAGATAGCCTCTTTAATAAATGGAAAAAATTGGCTTTCCACATGCTGAAGATTAAAACTAGTCTCATATCTTTCACCACCCACTAACCTAAAATTGAATGGATCAAAGATCTAAACATTAAAACAGAAACACTAAACCTGCTGGAAGAGGTTCTACTATTGAGGACATTAGGAGTAGGCAAAGACTTCAAGAACAAAACTCAGACCACATGGAAAATACTACAAAGAATTAAGAACCTGGACCTCATCTTTTTTGGGGGGGGGGTGAATTACAGGGTCAAATTTTAATTCCTGAATTTTACATTTCAGCATTAATATCACCACTGTATACAAATGGTGTAAAAATAAGTACAGTGGTATTTTTTAATACAAAATAAACATATTTTATGGAACAACTATACTTCATATCTACACAGCTCATCTTTTCCAAACAATAGCCAAAATTAAAATTAACTACAAAATCTCCAAAGCAGGGGAAACTGCTGCAGTTTAAGCTATTCCAGGAAAAATGGACCCATAACACATTACAAATGTGATCTAAAGACTATAGCTGGAATTACTATTTTTAGATTTTTTTTTCTCAATGCATTAAATTGTAGTTTGGGGACATTTTTCTCATCTCAGCATGATCTCAGATCACAGATGAGCAAACTAACATTAAAATATTTTCAGTTAACTGGCTGTTCTAATAAATGTTATTTTGTTATTTTAAATTCACTTACATACATGGAATGTGCTTTTACTCTTGAAAAAGCAGCTTTTATATTACACTCTTTGTTTGATGGAAAAGCTTGACATGCTCCATGTGGCTTTGACACTTAAGTAACTTCCTGGATCAAAATGGCTTTAGATAGTAAATGGTGCTTGTGTTCAGCACTATTTTTTATCTTTATAAGTTATCCTGTAATACTTGCCTCCATCTCGGTAGACACACAACTTTACCAATAAAGCAGCACACAACGTCCAGTTATCTCCCACAAAAGACTGTACTGGAAGGTGGCTGAAAACATTGTTCTATCCACTCCCAAGTTTCTAAAGAGGATAATTTTTGAATACTAATATACTGTTTCTTGGCCACTGTTATCTCTAAAAGTGCTGAGTTTAAAGTTATATTAACAAAATTATCCACTTTGAAAACCTAGCTTGTTTGTATCAAAATAACATACTGAAAATTCCTGATGTAGAAAACTCAACATGTGCTATAATGCAGGATGTACTCCCCCCACAACCCAAAGGCTGAATTTGTGAAATCCTCAAAGAAATGTGGACCTCATCTTATTAAAAAGCTTTTGCACAGCAAGAGAAACCAGCAGAGTGAAGAGACGACCCACAGAACGGGGAAAAATTTTTACCAGCTGTTCAGATAAAGGACTATTATCCAGAATATATAAAGAACTCAAAAAAAATCAGACCCCTCAAATTTAAAGATCCATAGCAAAAAGGGCAGCTGAAAAAAAAAGACACTTCTCAGATAAATAATTAGAAATTGCAAATAAATAAATGAAAAAATGTTTAGCATCACTGGTCATTTCGAGAGATGCAAATTAAAACGCTGAGATTCCATCTCACTCCAGAAAGAATGGCTACTATCAAGAAATCAACCAATAACAAATGCTGGTGGGGCTGTGGGGAAAGAGGAACCCTGCTCCACTGCTGGTGGGAGTGCAGACTCTTGCAAACACTGGAAATCACTGTGGAGAGTTCTCTGAAAACTAAAACTAGAGGAGGGATTGGAGGAAGGAAAGAAGAGAGTGGAATGAATACGAGAAAATGAAAAAATGGAAACAAAATCTTTGTAAATAGGGAGGGGTGGAGGAGTTGAAGGGAGGGCAGGGAAATAGGAAAAAAAAAAAAGAACCAAGAGAGATTATGTAAAGGTACAAATTTCTAATGTTGAATGTCATTATACTGTATACCTAAAACGTACCAATAAAATTAATTTTTAAAAAACCCTAAAACTAGAGGTTCCATTTGACCCAGCTATTCCCCTGCTGGGTATATTCCCCAAAGAAAGAAAAGCATCTTACCACAGTGATATATGCTCACCCATGTTCACAGCAGCACGGTTTGAAATAGCTAAATCTTGGAAACAGCCCAAATGCCCATCATCAACTGACCAGTGGATAAAGAAGATGTGGGGCTTTTTATACAGTGGAGTATTACTCTGCCATAAAGAAGGATGAGCTGAAGACATTTTTAGCTAAATGGATGCCCCTTGAGACCATACTCTTAAGTGAACTAAATCAGACACACGTTTAAATGCCGCATTGTTTCTCAGGTGTAAGAAAGTAAATGCAGGGCAAAAAAAATTTAAACATAGGGAGGGGAGGGGGCTCGGGGGGGGGGATGGGATAAAATATAGTAAAATTTATTTTATTTTATTTTTTGGTACCGGGGATCGAACTTGGGACCTTGTGCTTGCAAGGCAGGCACCGGAACCACTGAGCTAAATCCCCGGCGAGTAAAATTTAAGAAAGAGTCCATCAGAGAATGTCCGAGTCGGACGAGACTTTGGGACGATGCCCCGTGCGAAGCCTTTCACAAAGGCCCAGGAAGCAGGGGCGCAGGGAGACGGCCCACGCAGCACAGGGCCAGGTCCCGTCCGCCGCCCCAGGGCCGCGCCCACAAACAGGTGGCTCCCGCGGCCCCGCCCGCTCCTGGAGCTGTAAGTGGGCTCGGGCCACCGCCCAGCGTGCGTGCGTCCTGCGCGGGAGGGGCAGGGACGCAGGCGCCCTTCCTCCGCCCTCCGCCCGCCCGGCCCCCCTCCCCCCCTCCCCCGCTCCGCGCCCCGGGCTGCGCGGCGGCCCGGCTGGGCTTTGTGTCTGCGGCGGCCTCCGTCCCCCTCGGATCCGCCACCGGCCGCCGGGAGGAGGAGGCGGAGGCGGAGCGCAGGCTCCCGCCCCCGCTCGCGCCCGCCCGGGGGCGCCCCGACCCCGGCCCCGGCCCCGGCCCTGCCCGGCCGCATCCAGTCCCGGGCCCCCGGTTGCCGGCCGGGTCGCGCGGCCCGCGTCCGAGAGCGTCCCCGCGGCCCGGGAGCCATGCTGTGCGGGCGGTGATGTCCGCGGAACAGGAGAAGGAGCCCACCGCGCTGAAGAGAGCCCGAGGTGACGGGGCGCGGGCGGGAATGCGGGCGGGGCGCGGCCGGGGAGGCCTGGCCCAGCTTCACAGGGCTGACTGCAGAGGCGGGGGCATTCTCCTTGCAGGTTTAGGAATAAGGATCGCATCGTCCAGAATCAGTTCCTGCGTAATCGGTTTTCTTCCTCCTTGCAGACTGATTGGGAATTTTGCTGCTGTCTTAACTAAGGGAGATCAGAGAGCGCGAAGTCCTAGACAAAAGACGCCGCTTGCGAGCGAGTTCACGAGCCAGATGCCTGCAGGAAATGTGGGGGACCCTGCAGCTCGGTTTCCAGCTCTTAGAGGTTAGGGCTCAAATCCTAAAGTTGAAGTAGCACTGTGTCCACTGCGTGGTGGGCACTGTTCCTGGCCTATGGACAGGGTGAATAAAGAAGGCGGCCTGCACCTGAAGGGGCCCGGTTCTCTGGGTGACACAGACAGCAGGACGTGCAGAGGGTCCTGGTGGCTGTGGTGGGGTGGGAGGTGGATGCTGCTGGGAAGGGCCCTGGAAGCGCCGGCCTGCCAGTGACAGCTGATTGGAGACCTAAAGGTAGTGACGTGAGGCCCGCAGGACAGCACAGCATTCTGGGTACAAGGAGCAGCAAGTGCAAAGGCCCTGGGTCTGAAATGTGCCCAGCATTGGAGCGCAGCACGACCAGCAGGGGAAGAGTGAGCATCCCCAGCCCTCTGTGCCCATTGGATCAAGACTGGCTTTTATTTGGGCAGGGACAGGACAGTTTTTGCAGAAGAGCAGTTGATCTGACATTCTAAATAGGGCTTCTCTGGCTGTTTTGCAGAAAGCAGACTGGAGAACAAGGGCGGAAGCAGGAGGACAGCTGGAATAATCCTTTTGTCCAAAAGTGCATAAGGTGCATTATACATCAGTAAGTAGTAAGGCAGTTTCCAGTTAACTGATACAGAGATCAGTGACTATAGTCATTTATTAGTTTATTTTATTTTTAATTTTTGAGATATGGTCTCACTGAGCTTCCTATGCTGGGCTCAGATTTTCAATCCTCCTGCCTCGGCCTCCCAGCATGCTGGGATTACAGGTCTGTGTCGCAGTGGCTGGGTTCATTAATGCTTTTGCTCAGTGTCACTACTGATTAAATATATACAGTGATGCCTTGGTTCACAAACACTTCCGTTCATGAACAGTTCTGGTTCACAGTTCACAAACAGAAGCGGTTGGCAAAATTTTGCTTCTTTTCATGAACTCCGCATCAGGTAACAAACGTGAGCCAAAACTAAGGCGGGAGTCTTCCCCAGTCTGACACGTGGTCGTGGCTTCCCTTGTTTGCGATTGAGGTTGCAGACAGACCTGTTCACGCGTACCGTGAAGCTTGTGTGCTTTTTAGCAGGTACAGTACTGTAGTAATATTCAAACCAGCACGGCTCCAGAGAAAGTGCAGAGCATGCATAGTGGTAAAAACAAAGTGCAGAATGATAACAAAGTAACAAAGTGCACAGAAAGAATGGTAAGAAGGTTTTGAAGAAAATAACCACTGAACTGAAGAAAGAAATTGTAGAAAAGCATGAGGGAGATGTTCATGTGACTGATCTGGCCTTGGAGTCTAAGGTGGCAAAGTCAGCAATCTCCACTACTTTGAAGAATAAAGGTGTCAGAGCTGATGCGGCAGAAGGAGTAACAGTGTTAGCCAAGCAGAGGACACAGGTGCTGAAGAGGGGAAAAGCTTTTGTTAGTGTGGTTAAATGAGAAGACGCTGACAGGTGATGGTGTTAGTGTAGCTGTGAACTCTGAACAAGCCAGTCATTTACTGCAGAAAATCCCAAAAGCCCTCTACAGGTGCAGCCAGTGATGAATTTTAAGCCAGCAGAGAGTGGTTTGATAAACTCCACAAGAGAAGTGGCATCCACAGTGTGATAAGGCATGGTGAGGCTTCCAGCTCTCACAAGGCTGCTGTAGAAGCCTACAAGAAAGAACTCACGGAATTCATGAAAGCAGATGCATATGTCACTCAACAAGTGTTCACCTGGAATGAAACAGGGCTCCTCTGGAAGAAGATGCCGAACAGAATCTGTGTCGTGCAGGAGGAAAAGGCACTGCTGGGGTACAAGCCCATGAAGGATCCCTGAAACATTACTGGAAACCTCTGTAGTAGGCTCCAGTCTCCTACTCAGTGTAAAACACAGGCCTGAGGAAAAAAAACTAAAAGACAGAACTGTGATAGAAACTGGGGCATCAGGACGACCAGTGCCAATGCAGTTGACAAAGGCCCTGGCCAGTCCGAGCCACTGATACTTACTGGTAATTAATCTGGTAAAGGTGAGCTATGTGCAAGGATGTGCAGTCATGCGGTTTCTATGGAAATTAATGTAAACAAGGCTCCTAAAGGACAAGACAAAGCATTCTCAAATTAGGAACAGAATAGAAAAAATATGTGGTTGTAGTTAGAACATTCTAGTCAGAAGGTTTAAGTTGTGGGAATGGAATCTGGGTGCGAGTTACCCTGACCTCGGCACAGAGGCTTCGGCCAGACTCACTTCTGTAGACCAGACTCACTTCTGTAGACGAGCCAACTGTGGGTTAGCTCCTCACAGCCTAAACTGCCCACAGCCTGCTTTGGGTATAGTCAGTATTGTGGTTTCCGGCACAGACTGAGCCTTCTGCTGTGTGCGAATGCAAGTGCTGATCTGAAGATTAAGCCACTACTGGCACAACATTCCAAGACCCACCAGCATTCAAGGAATAGGATAAAAGAGACCAGGCTGCCTGTCATGTGGAGGGTCACAAGGCAGCTGTGCACGAATGGCTGCCGGAGGCGTTCAGAAACCTCTTTCTGACAGTCGACTGCCTGAAGGAGTCTCCTTCTGATGACAGTGCCCAGCACACCTCCAGCATGGTGGGTGACATGGATGCTGAGTCACGCTCCTCCCCGACACGACACCCCTGCTGCACTTGTGGACCAGCATGCTATCTGCAACTTCAGGAAGTGGTACACAAAGGCGCTCTTCAGCCTTGTACACAAGAAGCTGTACACAAAAGCATCTCTTTACTGAAGAGACATCCTTGACTCTGAAAAAGCTCTGAAAGAAACATTTCAGTGTCCTCCACTGCATCAGCCTCACTGGCAAAGCCTGGGAAGAGGTCTCGTACAGAACCTAAACTCAGCCTGGAAGAAGTGGGCAGAATGGGTCACTGAGCGAGGCTGTGAAGAGTCTGAGGCACAGGCAGTGGAGGAGCCAGTGCCCATGGGCAGGAGCATGGGGCTGGGCATTGACAGTGCAGACACACAGGAGCTGGTGGAGGACCACAAGGAGGAGCTGACAAGAGAAGAGCTTGCTGAACTTTAGTCCTCCACTGAGAAAAAGGCAGGCAGGATGGAGTTAGCAGTGATGTGGTAAAATCCATTATGGAAAAATGGAACGAGTGCCCAGATTTCTTTGAGAAGCACCACCCCAGCGTAACTGTAACAGTGTTGAATCTGGTGAGCGATAACATGGTCTCTCATTTCTGGAGGGTTATTCGGTGCAGGAAAAAGGCAACTTTAGACAGAGTTTTTGTCAAAATTGACCCCGCAGCTAAGAGACAAAAGAAGAGGAAAGCCCTGGAGATCTTGCCGATGTCCTTGCTGTCCCCCACACTAGAAGTCGCCTCAAGCAAGGTCAGTATTGTACCATGCTGTACTTTGTTTCCTGTGTTGTACTTTGTGGTTAGAGAATGCATATGGTTCAGAACAGATTAACCTTCTTTACATTAAACCTTATGGGAGAATTTGATTCAGCTTGCGACCGGATTTATGGAACGAATGAAGTCTGAACCAGGCCGAAGTGCCACTTTGCTTGTTACACACTAAAATACAAGACCCAGACGCGTGCACGTGACTAGGTAGAAATTTTGGTTTCTGTCTTTTTGGGGGGTAGAAGTTTATTAGCCATTTAAGGAAAAACGTAATTTAGAGCAAATTACTGCTTTCAAGAGCTTACAGCAGCTCAGCCTTTCATTTGGTGAAACATTTGAAGCCTCTTCGGTTCGTTTGATTATGAATTTAAGGGACAGACCTGAGATACAAGTTCTCTCCTGAGATTTTTGCTGTATTACTTTGTCTAATTATTATGTATTACTTAGTGGTTGAAGGAAAAGAGCTAAATTTATAACTTTGAACTCAATTATCAGTCTTAATCAAATATAATTCTTAAAAAAATGGATGAGTGTTTTATTACAGGTCAGGAGCACAAACATATTTATTTTGTTCCAGCTGCTACTTTTTAAGTGTAGTGCCTTAGCTGTTAGGAATTGGCTCAGATATCAGCTCAAGAATATTCTGAGTAAGTAGCAGGGGAGAAAAGGCACTTTCTAAAAGAAGAAGTCAATATTATAGCTAGGCATACTGGCGCATACCTGTAATCCCAGCTGCTCAGGAGGCTGAGGCAGGAGGGTCACAAGTCCCAAGGCCAGCTTGTGCAAACTAGTAAGACCCTATGTCCAAATTTCATAAGGCTGAGAGTATAGCTCAGTGGTAGAGCCCTTGCCCAGCATGCACAGGACCCTGGATTGACTCCGCAGTGCTACCAAAATACAGTATTTTTATTTCATCATTTATTTTATCATGTCATTTTATAACAAATTAGTCTAAAAGACATTTGGATTATATTATAATCCACAGAGGGTACCAGAGTATCTACGTGAGCTTTTCTGAAGGACAAGTCTATAGAACTTTACCACCAAGACCTTTTTATATGATTTATATCATCAGACCCAGGCAACATGTGGTGTTTTGTTTTGGAAGTGCCGGGGATTGAAATCAGGGCCTTGTGCATTCTAGGCAAATGCTCTGCCACTGAGCTATGAGCTATACCCCAGCTTTTAAAAATTTTTAGATGTACATGTACTATATACATGCACACATATAGTAGATTTCAATATAAGCGAATTAAGAAGGTAGTATTTGGGTGGAGCACAGATTTGATGGAATGATGACAGTGTCAATGAGACTAAAAGCATCATAATCACCTGTGATACTAAAATGTACATTCCTGGATCCACAGGATCAGGATTTCTGGAAAATTTCTCTGGATCTTTAACCAGAGTCCCAGGTTTCCTGTACACACTAAAGACGGAAAACTGTTGCAGATAGACAAATGAGTGAGCCAGAAGCGACTATCTGTAGTTTTCTGTTCTTGCCCTGATACTGTAACATTAAATTCAGAATTACTCTTCATCATCTTTTTTTTTTTGGTACTGGGGATGGAACTCAGGCCCTTGCACTTTCGAGGCAGGTGGTGGAACCACTGAGCTAAATCCCCGGCCCAAAATTCAGAATTACTATTTAGTGACCTAGTCTCTTATCCTTGTTTTTTACTAATTTACCACCCTAAGCCCTTGGGTCTTGATTACCAGACAGAGCCAGGAGGACAGCTGCTCTGTCTTAATTATGTTTTTATTTGCCTTGGCCATAATAAATATCAAAAGAATGAATGAGTGAATACATAAGTTAATTCATTATGCTACATTTTGATTGCCCATGGCTTCTCCTCCTACTTTACTTGCCTGTTCCCTTAGAATGTCACCTATCAAAAAAAAACAAAAAGAGGGGCCGGGGATTTAGCTCAGTGGTTCCACTGCCAGCCTCGAAAGCACAAGGATCCGAGTTCAATCCCTGGTACCAAAAAAGAAAAATGTCACCTATCAATCTTATTTTACCAAAAACGTCCACCCCCCAGTGTTCTTAGGACTCCTAGGTGTTGATTGGATGGCAGTGTTCATTTGTGTATTCACCATGTATCTATTAAGTGATCACAGTGCCAGCTAGTGAGAATACACTGATTAAGAAGACGTGGACCTATGCTTAAGAAAGTGTTAGTCTCTGGCTGGGGATTTAGCTCAGTGGTTGTGCCGCCTGCCTCGCAAGCTCAAGGTCCCGAGTTTGATCCTCGGTACTGGAAAAAAGAAAGTGTTAGTCTCCTATAGCACTCTGGCAAGTTAAGGGCTGTGATTTATTTACAGGAAGTAAAGGTACATATAACCAATCTTAAAGGCAATCAAGGAAGACCCCCAGAGAAAAGTTCTGAGGAGCAGTGCTGGTCTTCTTTTGTGTTAAATGATGTGTAAGCAGCTGTGGGAAGGATAAAATGTGACCTACGAGGTCCCTGGTGATTCAGGGAGGCAGTTTGGGGAGGAAACCACGTTTGAAAGCATTGAAGATGAACATGTTAAAGAATTAGGTGGTGAGGGCTGGGGATGTAGCTCAGAGGTAGAGTTTTTGCTTAAAGTACACAAGGCCCTAGGTTCAATCTTTAGTATGGAAACAAAACAGATTAAGTGCTGAAGATGTGGCTAAAAAGAAGCTTGGTAGTAGAAAGACAGCAGATAGTTTGAAAAGAGAGTCAACAGAGTATCTATGAGTGTCCTTTTTTTCCCTCCATTAAAAAAACCTTCCACACATTTGTAGATTTACCAATGAACTCATTTTAGAGGGAGAAGGGACGCCGAAAAGGCACAGAGAGCCCAGTTAGTTAATGAACGAGGCGTTCAATACCTGCTCGGCAGTACTTAGCATGGGCCAAGTACTTGCTGCTCAGCACCTGGGGAGGGCGAGGCTTTTGAACCCTCAATCAGGTATCTGCGAGGGAGAGGCCCTGCAGGGAGAGCAGTTTTAGATGGGAGGCAGAGAGTGGAGGAAGTGGAGGGCCTCTGCTTCAGGTGGAAAGCGTTTAACCAGAGTTGGAAATGACGGGAGATGAGGGTGTAGTTTAGGTCGGCATAATAACAGAAATGTCATGACAGTAGACTTCACGAGAAGATGCAGACTGTGGCAATGGGATGAGTTTATGGAGGACTTGGATTAAGGTCGGGAGGGAGCATAATTACATAGTCATAGAATGGGAAGGAAGAGCTAGTGAGAGGAAGTCTGAGGAAAAGGTTTTGGATTTTGTTTTAAAAACCTGTTTGTGTAAGTTTAGGTAGATTACCAGGAAAGTGTTTGGTTTTAAACACATTGCATCAGTAGCCCCTTGGGATATTCCAGTGTACCTATAGAGCCTTGGAAAGATCAGAAATAGAGATCTGCAAGTCCTCAGTAGACAGGGGAGGACTAATTAATGTCTTGGTAGAGTAGATGAGCCCATCCAAGAGAAAAGAGAAAAGCAAAGAACTGAGATCACGAGCTTTGGAAATACACTGGGAGCCGGAAGGGCAAAGACCCTGAAATACAGACTGCAAAGGAGCTATCAGACAGGGAGGGGAAAACTCCTGGGAAAATGCTTTCGCAGCTCCATAGCAGGAAGAATGGAAGTAAAAATCCAACTTTCTTATAATGGCCCTTTTTCATTTAGCCCAGGTCTGCCATTTAGTTCTTCGTTCTTCACATCCATGGAATGCTCTCTCCTCTCCTGTGCTCCAGTCCTGAAACAGTCGCACTTCCTTTCTAGATACTGTCATTACTTCTGTTCCTTCTGCTAGGCATGACCTCTTTCACACCTTTGATAAGATACTCAAAGATTCAGTTCAGGTGAAACCTGGATTGTGTTCTCTGAGCTTCTCCTTGAAATCAGGTGGGAATTGTGGATGTTCCTTCAGTATTGTGTGTCATCTCTATCATAGCAGTCATCACATTAAAGAGTTTCACAAGAGAGAGAGGAGCAAGGAAGGAAGGATGAGAGAGGCAGGGAAGAAGAAGGAAAGAAGGAAGGACAGGTGGATGGACTGTTTACAAGATCCTCACAGGGTAGAATTATTAAAATGAGAATATTAGGGGCTGGGGATTTAGCTCAGTGGTTACACCGCCTGCTGCGCAAGCGCAAGGACCCAAGTTCGATCCCTGGTACCAAAAATATATATATAAAATAAAAATGAGAATATTAATGGGACTTATGGAGTTGTTTGAAGATTAAATGAGTTACATATATAAAATGCTTAGAACACTGTCTGGCCCTTTGTAGTGTCATCAATTTGCTGTTAAAATCAGAAACAGAGGTCTAACATAGCACATCTAGCTAAGTAACACGATCAGCACTCACTCAGGTGTAACCAACTAGTAGTGCATAAATACAGCAGCTTCTCTTATTGACTGGGAGTGAGCGAGAAGAGAGCAGAAAAGGGTTCTTTCCCCTGCTAGGAGGGAAACAATGAGTTTTTTAAAAATTCAGAGCAGACAGCTCTCAGGTTTCAGTGTTTCTGGAAAAGACAAGCAGAATCTGTTTATTGAATACTTGTGAATATCTGCAGCTTTGTTCCCCATGATTTCTGAAGTTTTGTGTCTAAAAAGTTGGCTGACTTTGTAATAAAAGCAGCTCTTCTTTGCTAGAGATGCTCCTCATCAAAGGTGTTACTTCATAGTCAGCCTGAGTGAACACTGTCCACTTGCTCTCCTAAGGGTCCGTAAGCCAGGAGACGGTCACCTGCAGACGCTGCTTTGGGGAACACAGCTAGCACCGGAGTTGTCAGTGTTTGAAATTCAAGCTCCCTGGTGTTGAGGGCTCTGAACTTAATGCTGTGCGTGTTACATGGCCAAACTGATCTAGGCTCTGAGCACCCAATACTACACACTACCATGCATTTTAAATAATGGCACTTTCATTTCAGTCACATAGGGCATTTTGCCAAATGCATGTTGAAATTTATATAATGCTATGTTCACATGTTAATTCATAGTATTTACATTCCACAGTAGAGACCAACATTAGAAAAGTATGTGAGATGAAGATAAAGCCATTAGCTAAGGTGTTCATGTCTATAGTGAATTATAGAATAAACTGATACCAGATTTCATTGCTAAATATTAAGATACTTAGGGTTTTGAATTCGAGCCAAGTGATTACATAAGTGATTCCAGGTGTCAGAGAGTCATCAGTGCCCTGTCTCTGGAGTCCTGAAATCCCAGCACTCAGGAGGCTGAGGCAGGAGGATCACCAATAGTGCAGGACCAGTCTGGGCTACACAGTGGGACCCTGTCCCCCCCAAAAAATGAAAACTTACAAGGAATTTAATTTTTGAAATGTGAACACAGATAGTATAACCATTAAGAGTACATTTTGTAGGGCTGGGGATTTAGCTCAGTGGTTTTGCCGCCTGCTGCGCAAATGCAAGGACCAGAGTTCAATCCCCAGTACCAAAAAAAAAAAAGAGTACATTTTGTAAATAAAAAAAAAAAACATTTTGTCCATTTTTAAATTACATTTCATTTTAATTATAAAGTTAATTATAATTGATCTACTTACAAGTATAATTTAATTTTAACTATAAAATTACAGTTATCCTCTGGTCCTAACTCTTTGACCTGCTGGGCATGGTGGTACATGCCTGTAATCCTGGCTGACATCACAGGGGGAGGCTGAGGCAGGATCATTGCTGGGAGTTGGAGGCCAGCCTGGGCTACACAGTGAGACCCTGTCCCAAAAAACAAATCAAAGCTGGAGATTTAGCTCAGTGGCACTGCACCTGCCTCGCAAATGCAAGGTCATGAGTTTGATCCCTGGTACCAAAAAAAAAAGCAGGCCATGCTGTGAATGGTAATTCAGATACCCTACACTAGATACTGAGGACTAATTTATTGTTTTTATTTTTAAAAATTGCTTTTTTCTGATTGATAGGAAAATGGATACACCTTGAGACCACAATGCTAAGTGAAATAAATCAGACATAGAAGGTTAAATGTCACATGGTTTCTCTTATATGAGAAACCCAAAGTATAAATAAAGGGTAAAATAAAAGATGATGGGAAACAGGGAGGTAGAACTTTTGCAGATGGGAAGGGGGTCTTGGGGTAGAGAGAGAGGGTGGGAGCAAGAGGGGAAGAGGAAGTTAAAAGGGTTAAGGTGAGGCCTGGGGATGTAGCTCAGTGGCACCGAGCCTGCCTTGCAAGGGTAAGGGCCTGAGTACTCGATCCCCAGTACCAGAAACAAAAGGATTAAGATGATACAAGGTATGTACCAACTCCCCACAATGAATGTGTTTGTTATGTATCACAAACATATACCAATGATAGTAAGTAAATTAGAAAGATTGAAACAATTACCTTTTTCTGGGTTGGGAGTGTAGCTGAGTGGTGGAGTGCTTGCCTAGTGTATGGAAGGCCCTGGGTTTGATCTCCAGCACTGCAAGGAAAAAAATTTCTATTTATACTTTATTAAAATGGAATACCCATGATAGGTATTAGGAAAGACAGGACTTTAAAGTTTGGGCCCTTTATTATATACAGTAAGTCCCTGACTTAAGAATGAGATCCATTCTGGGAGAACGTTCATAAAGTGGATTCGTTCATAAGTTTGACAAAGTGAGACTTTTACACCTTTGACACAAATACACAATGTAAAGCAAAAACAACACACACACACAAATACTGTAACCTTCAGTCCAATCTCTCAGTTATTTTCGCTTGTTCCCATGGGTTTTTTTTTCTTTCTTTCTTTCGTTTTTTTCTTTTTTCGTACCAGGGATCGAACTCGGGACCTTGTGCTTTTGAGGCAGGTGCAGCATCACTGAGCTAAATTCCAGGCACCATGGTTATCGCTTTGCGCTTCCCAGCAGTCCCCTCCACACACCACGGCTCTTCCTCGTGCTTCCTCCCTCCTGGGCTCTGACTGGGCACTGCGCTGCTGTACACTACCGCACACACAGTGAGCATACAGATGCACAACTGTGACAGTGTCCAGCAGACACAGGAGCTACTTCCACACTTTGTTCGCGTTATGAACATTCGTAATGGGAAGTCCATTTGTATCTGAAAGTTGACAACTCCAGTGTTCATAAGTGGGGGACTTACTGTGATCACTTTATTACTTGACCTCTAAGACTATTACTGATGCTATTCACACTCATCAGAATCTCTAGATATTCAGAGCAAAGAACAACCAGTATATCTGTTCACTATGTCAGTTAAGGAAAACTGCATACAAATTATTAATTTGTAACAATCAGCTCATTTTATATGGCTACTCAGTAATTGCTCATAGGTTTAATCAAATGACCTTGAAGAATGGAGTTGATCTCATTAGGAGACCCCTCCCCCCATTGCTAGGGATTGAACCCTGGAGGGCTGTACCACCAGGCTATGTCCCCACCCCTCTTTATTTTTTGAGACAGGGTCTCACTAAGTGGCCCAGGCTGGCTTTGAACTTGTGATCCTCCTGCTCCTGCCTTCTGAGTATTTTGTAGGTATGAGCCACCGTGCCAGTGCCACAATCAGTTCTTTACTTACCATCTACCCAGGTGGGGTTGCCACTCCAAATTAATGAAAGAAGAGCAGGGCGTGGTGGTGCACGCCTGTAATAATCCTAGCACTCTGGAGGCTGAGGCAGGAGGGTTGCTGAGAGTTTGAGGCCAGCCTGGGCTATATAGTGAGTTCAAGGCCGGCTTGAAGTATAAAGTGAAGCCCTGTCTCAAAGAAGTAAAAAACAGGCCAGAGATTTAGCTCAGTGGTTCCGGTGCCTGCCTTGCAAGCACAAGGTCCCAAGTTCGATCCCAGGTACCAAAAAAACCAAAGAACAACAACAAAAACAAATTAACGAAAGGAGTTTTTTTCATTTTTACCAGAAATATCTATTTTTGTACTCTGTGCTCCAAAAAGGAAGACTCAGTATATGCATAAGATTGTAGGGAGGCTAAAGGAAAGAAGAGATAGGTAAATTGGACCTCATCAAGGTCAAACAAATTTGTGTGTCAAAGGATACTATCAAAGTGAAAAGACAACCCACACAGTGGGAGATGGGAGAAATTATGTGCAAATCATAGATAAGAATTCAGTATGCAGGATGCACAAAGAATTCTTACAGCTCAACAAAACCAGACAGTGCAACTAGAAAACAGCCAAATATCTGAACATTTTTCCAGAGAAGATAAATAAATAAATAAGGACCAGAATGGAGCGAGGTGACAGTCATGTGGCAGCAAAGCTTCAGGTACTGCCCAGATGAAAAGGAGTGGTCAGAACAGTCACTCATTGTGGGGCTAACAGCCTGGGCGTAATGGTAATCGCTGCCCTTCACAGCTTTCAGCAGCCAGGGCAGCAGAAGTCTTCAAAGGTGTGATGAGAGAGTGTCTGAAATGAAGAATGAATCTAGAAATGGAAAGTGCCCTCCTAAAGGGGAATAAGGAGTAGGATATAATGTGGGATTGTATTACAATCAGCTTTCAAAGTAGGGAGTCCTTAAACACTTTTTTTTTGAGTCGGGGTTTTGCCAGTAGCCCAGGCTGGCCTTGAACTCCGCCTGCCTCGTGCTAGGATCACAGGTGTGGCCACCACACCTGGCCGTGACTCTGGGGGAGTAGCTCAGTGGTAGACCTCTTACCTAGCGTGTGTAAGTGAGGCAACAGTCCAATCCCCAGCATCACTAAAAGAAGTTGTTAAAAAAGAAAGTATGTAATTTTCTAACCTAGCGCATTTTATAATGTCTTTTCTTAGCCTTAGAGGATTCTTTTTAAAAATTTCTCCGGGTGAAAAAACATTTAACATTCTTCAGTTTAACTTCTTTTATTAAATTGTAGTAAAGTTAAAAATTTAATGTTATTATTTAAAAAATAGTATCCTGTTTCTTTAAAGGACTACTGTATATCCATCTATTCACAGGGAAGGGACATGAATGGTAGACAGCAAGCTAGATATCTGGACTGATGCTAATTTAATAGTAATGAAGTGTCTGGCTGGTGGGACTTGAGATGTGTACCAGTTAGAGTCCATTTGGAGACAGAAACCACACCAGTTTTTTAAACTAAGAACTTAATATAAAATAAATAATTGTTAACAGATGTCGAACTGACATGGCAAAAATAGGGTATTATAGTTTTCATGAAGGTAGCAACTGTGGGAAGCAGTTACTCCTTGACTGAGGCAAGGAAAAAGAAGTTGGAATTATTAAAATCCATGGAGTTGGAGGAGGGGCCTGTGGAGTTTAAACTCCAGTCTCTGAAAAAGTCACGAAGTAGAGGTTGCTCAGCCTCCCAGGGTGTTGGGATCACAGGTGTGCCCCGCACCCAGCTCAGTACACAGTCTTTTTAAGAGTGCATACCAGTATTTGTCACATAGTTCAGCGGAAGGTGGCAGTGTGGTCTGATGGGCTAGTGAGGTTAACTGTTGAGCATGCAGTTTGTGGAATAGCAGCTTCTGGGTTACCAGGGAGTCAGAAACCCGAGTCTGCGGGCTCCATCTCTGCACTGTGGAGTTGCAGCCATGGCCGTGAGGCTGGGAATCTGGGTAACACCTTCTGGGCAGTTTTCATCCCAGTAAGGCTTGAGAATACTGATACACAGAACTTCATGCGCAGGCTTTCGAGTCAGGAAGGCGCAACTGTGACCGTGAGCAAGTCAGTCACACACGCTCCTGTTTCCTCATCTGTCAGGATTCTTTGAGGATCAAATTTAAAATGTATGCAAAATGCTTATAATAGGATCCAGCACACCCTAAATATTCTGATATTATGGCATGGTAATTCCCTTCAGTTTTTTAACAGTCATCTTAAATTTAAATCATCTTAGTTTTTATCTTTTAATTGTTAACATCAGTTAGAAATCTTATAGCTCAGGCTGGGGATTTAGCGCAGTGGCACTGCGCCTGACTTGTAAGCACAAGGCCCTGAATTTGATCACTGGTACCAAAAAAAAAGTAATCTTACAGCTTGACGGTTCACAATAGCTAAGTCTTGGAAGCAGCCTATATGTCCATCAACAGATGAACGAATAAATAAAATGTGGTATTTATATACAGTGGGGTACTGTTCTGCATAAAGAAGGATAAACTTAAGTCATCTGTAGAAAAATAGATGCACCTTGAGACCATAGTGTTAAGTGAAATAAATCAGACACATAAGCTTAACTATCACATGATAAATAAAGAGCAAAATAAAAGATAATAGGAAAAAAAGAGAAATGGCGGGAAGGAGGAGGAAGGATGGGGGAAAAATTGCAGCCAGGAGGGGAAGGAGACGTGAAAAGAATTAAGATGTGTTAATATACATGTACCACCAGGGATTTAGCTCAGTGGTTTTGCTGCCTGCTGCGCAGGTGCAAGGATCTGAGTTCAATCCCTGGTACCAAAAAAAAAAAAAAACCAAAAAATATATATACATGTACCAACTGCCTGCAGTGAATTTTGAAATCATTATGTACTGCAATATTGCAAACATGTGGTAATAAAAATAAAAGAAATCTCATGACTTGGACTCAGTTTAATTCAAACATTTGAGTGTCTGTGGATAAGCATTATCTAGTGGGCAGATATAAAAAGAAATGAGACACATTGTCCCCATAAATGAGTATCTTTATGTTACATACAACACACGTATAATTATGATGTTACACTTTCCTTGTCCGTGCAGCCATGCTCTTTCCCTGTCGTGGCCATTGTAAATAAGCCACAGGAAACACGGCACAGCAGACCTCTCTTTGAGAGCCCCACAAGTCAGGCCGCTAGGCCGCATTCTGCTCTGCTGCCTTTAGGTCTGGAAGAACCTCCAGACTTCCTGGGACTACACTGTTTCCCTCCCACAGCGGCACACAGTGGTCCCCTCCATCCTAGAGAGGAGGTGAGTTGTATGGTTCTGACTTGTAGTACCCTGACCATTAGCGATAAGAGTCCTTTTTCATGTACCTGTTGGCCTTTTCCCCAGCTTCTTTGGAGAAATGTCTACGTATATATATTTTTTAACATACTAGGGAACTAACTCAGGCCTTCACGCTAAGCTATGTCCCCCACCCTTTATAAATTATTATTATTAATTATTATTGTTTCAGGCAGGGTCTCAGTTACTCAATTCCCCAGGCTGGGCTTCAACTTCCAGTCCTCCTGCCTCAGCCTCCCAGAGTACTGGGACTAAAGGCATTTGTACCACACTTGGCTCCTTCCCCTGCTTTTAAATTGGATTGTTTTTGTTTTGTTGTATTTTTTGCTTTTGGGTTATATGAATACATTATGTATTCTCTTAGTCACTTTTCTCATTGCTGGGACAAAATACTTGACACTCTTAGAGGAAGTGAGGTTTCTTTTGGCTCAAATTTCAGTCCATAGTTGGCTCACTCCACAGCAAGACAGCATGGCAGAGGGACGTAGTAGGGGAAAAACTGCTCACCGCGTGGCAGCTGGAACAGTTGGTCCAGAAGAGCCAGGAAGGTAGATAAACCCTCCAGGCCAGGCTCACAGCAGCCCGCCTTTTAGGACCACACCCCGCCCGACAGCCTGTCAAGCTTAAATGGGAGCCCCAGCCTCTGTCCTGAGGCCCACCTGTGAGCCACCTGAGGCCTGGGGGCATCCAGTAGAAGCACTAACTTGGATTTTTTTTTTTTTTTTTGGTATCGGGGATCGAACTCTGGACCTTGCACTTGCAAGGCAGCCGCCAGAACCACTGAGCTAAATCCCCGGCTTGGATTTTGGATAATAACCCTGTACCAGATATTATTTTCTTGCACTTCATAGGTTGTCTTTCATTTTGTTTAATTTGTGTGTAGCAGCTTTTAGTTTAAAGTACTCTCCCTGGTTTATTTTTGCTTTTGTTGCTTGTACATTTGATGCTATATCCAAAATATTGCCAAGAACAATGTCAGGAGTTTTCCTGTTTTCTTCCAGGAGTTTTGCAGTTTCAGGTTTTACATTTAGGTTTTCAATGCATTTTGAATTAATTTTGTGAGTGGTATAAGATGGAGTCTAATTTTATTCTTTTGCATGTGGATAACCAGTGTTCCCAGTACTATTTGTTGGAGATTAACTTTTTCCCATTGTGTATTCTTGTTGGCCTTGGCAAACATTAGTCAACCATACATATGTGTGTGTGTTTCTGGGCTCTTGATTCTGTCCATTTGTCTGTACGTCTGTTTTCTCCCAGCACCATACTGTTTTGATTACTATAGCTTTGTGGTAGTTTGAAATCAGGAAGTGTGATGTCTCCAGCTTTGTTGTGCTTTCTCAAGACAGCTTTGGCTATTCAAGATCCTTTGTGGGATTTTGAATTTGGGGATTTTTCTTTCTCTGTAAAAAATACTGTTGGAATTTTAATAGGGATTATACTAAATCTGTAGATGAAAACTTTTTAAACACCTTACTGAGGGACAGAGGAAGACTTCTAACAAATGGCAATGTATTCTCTGTTCTGACTAGAACAAAATACCCTAGTTTTTACCTTATTTATTTTCCCAAAATAAATTCCATATGGAGCAAAGATATAACAAAACTGAAGCTATACTATGGAAAATAACATAGTGATTCCTCAAAAAAAAAAAAGAATTACTATATGATCTAGCAATTCTGTTACTATGTATAAGTCTAAAATAATTGAAAGTATTTAAAGAGATATCTTGAAGAGATGTTTGTATACCCATATTCATAGCAGCATTGTTCACAGTAGCCAAATGTGGAGGCAACCCAGGTGTTGCCTCCCAAGATGTTATGCTAAGTGAAACAGATGAAATAAGGCGGCCACAAAGAGACAAATACTTTGTCTTTTTATACCATTTTTATAAGTTATCTGTTGTAGTCAAAGTCATAAAAACTAACCTGGTATGAGGTGCACACTAGTAATCCCGGCAATGGAGAGGCTGAGCAGGAGGACCACTGGTTTGGGGCCAGCTAGGATTACATAGCGAGACTCTGCCTAAAAAACACACAAGCAAAAAATTCATGAGAACTGAAGTGAATGGCGATGATGTGACTATAAAAAAAACACAATGTGACTATACTAATACTTTTGAACTGTACACTTAGGGCCAGGGATTTAGCTCAGTGGTTCTGCTGCCTGCCTTGCAAGCACAAGGACCCGAGTTCGAGCCCTGGTACCAAAAAAAATGGCTGAGAGTAAATTTCATGTTATGAGTGTTTTGCCACAATTAAAAATTTAAAAAGGGATGTCATAAAAACATTAGACGAAAACAGGAGAGTCTTATTTCTTATTCTGTCAAAATGAGAGTACATCTTCTAAGCACAAAACCAAGCCCAGAATCCAAAAAATAAGATACTGATAACATTTTATTATGTAAAATACCTTTTTAAAATTCTAGATAGTATAGCAAGAGAAAATGGGTATGGACTATATGGAGATTCATCATGTCTTCATAGCTTTTTAAATCTAAAGTTATTCTAAAAATTTAAGTGTATTGAAAATTGTATGATAAGAAATCAAGACATTATAATCAACAATATTTGGAGTTCAAACAGCATTTTTTTAGCATATAAAGAACTACACATCATGAAGAAAAGGATCAAACAGTAGAAAAATAACAAAGTGCATAAATGGAAAAGGAAATATGGATGGTTTTTATACATTATCAGAGAAGAAGTTTAAAATACACGTATATATCACCATTTCGCATCCTCTAATAATTTGGTGGGACTAGACTTTATCAGAGGTTGTGATCACCAGAATTCTGAGATGACTCCTGAAATACCCTACCCTGCTAGTGCACATATGCTGTGCAGTTGATCGATCCCCAGGACTGTTTCATTGATGAAATCCCCTGGTTAGGTTATAGGATGGGGCGCTCTTGGCTTTAGGGTAGCTGTGCTTGACTCTGGGTGGCCCTGACCTACTCACATGAGCCTTTCTGGTGGCAATTCTTTACAGCTGGTTGAAGAAGAGGAATTCAGAGACTTTGAGGCACTTGAAGGATTTGCTGCACCACTGCAGGCAGAGCCACAAGTCAAGGAAGGTGATTGACCTCTAAGAACAGCTAGCAAGGAGAGTAGAATCTTAGTACTGTCACACACAGAACTAACTTTGGCTGCAAGAATGAGCTTGGGAGCAGATTCCCCCGCAGGGACTCCAGACAAAGCTCAGCATTCTGACTTCTTGATCTTGGCGTTATCCTGAGCACAGAACATGACTAGATATGTGAACCACAGACTAAAAAATAATGGTGGTTTTTAAATTTTATTTTTAGGTGGTTAGCTCAGTGGCAGAGCATGTGCTAAGCCCTCGGTTCGATCCCAGCATCACAAAAACAAAAAACAGTAAAATTTATTTTTGAGATAAAATTCACCATTTTAACCATTTTAGAGTCTACAATTCAGTGGATTTTTCTTGCATTTGCAATAATATATAATCATTATTACTTGCTAATTCCAGAATATTTTCCATTGTGTCAAAAATAAACCTTGTACCTTACAGTTTCTTCTTTTTCCCCAATGGCCTGGCAACCAGTAATCTATTTTCTATCTGTATAGATTTTCCTATTCTGGACATTTCATATAAATGGAATCATATGATATGTGGCCTTTGGTTCTGGCTTCTTTCATTTAGTAGAACATTTACAAGGTTCTTCATATATATTATAGCATATATCACTATTCCATTTCTTTTGATGGCTGAATAATAGTCTGTGTATTAGTCTACATTTCTTTTACCTACTCACTGTTGATGGACGTATGGGTTGTTCCCACTTTTTTGGCTATTATGAGTAATAGCGCTTTGAATATTCTTGTACAAACCTGGGTGCAAACCAGTTTTCAATTCTCTTGGGTTTGAAATCCCTCTTGGAGGGGATTGGTGACCATACTGATACCTTTTGATTAACTTTTTGTTGTTGTTGTTGTTGCTGGGAACCAATTTAGGCCTTACATGTGCTAAGCACACACTCTGCCACCACTTTCCCCCAGCCTCAAATGTTAAATGCCAAGTGTGTGATAATTTACATAACAGAAAAGTAAAAGAAGTGCCAAAGAAAAACAACCAGAAACAGCATGCTCCCTGATGGAAAAACAGACTATCACCTGTAAAACAGTCTTGCAAAAACTAGAAATCTAAGCCTTTAGTCTGGATCCAGCTACCATTTTACAAGAAATAAAGACCATAATGAACTATGCCAAGGGGATACAACCAGCAAAATCCAGTTATACATTCCAGGCAGGGAAAACGTAAATCATTCCTATAATTTAATCTATAATATAATTTTATATAAGGAATTGGTTAAATAAGTGTTGAACTGAAGAAGCAAAAAGTGAGGTAACATGGAAAAGTAATTTCAGGGGCCAACCTCCAGAGTTAGGGTTTATAAACAGAAAAGAAATTGTGGTTACTGGAACCTAGAAGGTTGGAGGAGAGGCCTTGAACAGCTGAGGCCCAATAGACTCAGATTTAGGCACTGTCTGGCTGGTGCTCCTTCCTCTGAGAACAGAGGTGTGTGGAGGCTGATTTGGAGAAGAAGTCGAAAAGCTCAGGCTTGGAACCAGCTAGTAGTAACAGAGGCTGTGGCTGGAGGACAGACAGGAGGAGCAGAAATCCCCTCTGGGCTCCCTCATCTCCCAGCATCCCTCTAGGTCTCCTGTTGGAAGAGTCTGGCCAAAGGGAAATGTAATTTGCAAAGTCCCAGTCCGAGCATCACAAATAGCTGAAAGACTAGCTCACCAGGTAGAACATTAATTGACTCCATTCCAGAATTCAGTTAATACAGCAAAGAAGAAAGCAGAATGATGGAGGGAGATATATCAGTGAAAAGACATGTCAACCAACTACGCATGGATCATATTTGGATCCTCACCTAAGTAAGCTATCCCAAATATCCGGGATCTTTGGATTGGATACTAAATAATATTAAGAGGGTACTGTTAATTTTTGTAGGAGACTGAGATTTCAGGGTTTGTTTTTGTCTGTTTTTGAATCCTTAGTTTTAAAGATACATTCTGAACTGTTTATGGATGAAATGTTACGTCTGGAATTTGTTTCAAAATGGGTCCCAAGCTGGGCGGGGATTTAGCTCAGTGGTGCTGCTGCTTGCCTGGTAATGCAAGTTCCTGAGTTCGACCCCCGGTACCAAAAGACAAAACAAAACAAAATGGGTTCAGGGACGAGTGGAAGTAGTGTTGAGATGAGATTGACCATATATTGATGGGCATATAGGGTTAATTTTACTCTACAACCTAACTGTATATGTTCACAATTCTTCATAATTGAAAGTTTTAAAAAGTGAAAAGACTTGATTGACAAACTTTATTAGATTAGCAGTCAGGCTTTTTCATTCCTCCACATACTGTTGAAAAAACTACTTGCAAACATTGTTGCATTTGGACAATATCTCTAAGAATTAAAACCCATGTACCTTTACTGCCACAATTCCAATTCTAGGAACAACTCATGTATGTAAAGACATTTATACATGAGTTTTCACTGCAGCCACAGCAAAAGTTTGGAAACCTACATATCCAATAGGGAGGGAACAATTTTAATGAATTATATAATTATGTTATAGAACACCACTCAGTTATTAAGGGATAAAGCAGTTCCATATGTAGTAACATAGAATGATCTCCAGGTAAGGAAGCAAGATAAAGAACCATGCTTATGGTATGCCATCATTTGTGTTATACTTGAATATACCAATATTATCTTTGGAAAAATAGACCAGGAACTACCAATATTGATGGACTCAGAGACAGGATACTGGATTAATAACAGTTCAAGGATGGAAGGGAGACTTTAATTTTTCACTGAAAGAATAATAACCATGGGAACAGAGATGAATGATGATTTCTTCATGAAACTATGGGAACAGCTGTTTGCAGAACAAAGATTAAAGCTTAGTACTGCTTTCACCCAACAAAAATAGAAAACATGGGGCCAGGGATTTAGCTCAGTGTTTCTGCTGCCTGCCTCACAAGCACAAGGACCTGAGTTTGATCCCCGGGACAAAAAGAAAAAACATATTAAGAAGTTAAATATAATATTACTATGAGATATAAAGTGAATTCACTTACCAGTGGAGGTATCATCATTTTTTTTTAGGTGGTGATAGTGGACTGGATGGGTTAGGAGGACCAGGTGTACAACTAGGAAGCCCCGATAAGAAAAAACGAAAGGCAAATACACAGGTAAATTGACATTTTCTTCAGTAATAGTGTTCCTCTGCTGGTGTGATTGGGCTGATAAGGGAAATTTTAATTTGGTTGTGGGTTTTGCTTCCTGTCCTCATTCAGAACTTAATAGTGAATTCTGCAATGATTGATTTTTTAGTCACCAACCAGTGGCTGTTTTTGGACAGTAAGTCTCGAGTAGATAGCAGAAGAAGAAAGTATGGGCAGACAAATTAAAATGCTTATTCCTAAATCTAAAGGTTTTAAAAATGTATAAATACCTATAGTCCTATTAAAAGATTTAAAGATATGTGGAAACAATTTTTAAAGTAATATTGAGCATAATAATTCAGTGTTATGTTCATACCATAAAGCACTTGATGGAGGCATCCTCCGGACTTCTGGCTGTAATAAATAATGATTTATTACATTTATAGTTTTGTCTTCTGTAAATGTGAAGCATCCTTTTGATGCTAAGGACTATGGATAAATATGTTTGTGCAAGTTAGTTTCCTCCCATTTTGGCCTTTGCTTAACTTACAGTGTGATTAAAACTGACAGTTTATCTTTCCAGTGTGAGGCTGACAGCTTAGTGTTTAGGGAATACTTTAATTGGTCCTGAAGTTAAGCTAGGGGAAAAAAATTTGGATCCTGTATCTTGTTATTTAATTTTATGACTATTTGGGGTGTAGAAGATATTTTTAGTTAGAATGCTTTAATATTTTAAATGAGTCTAGTTCTGGGCAAGCATGCTGTGAAAATTATGGTAATGAAGCTTCTTTTGAAAGTTAAATACCTGTAGAGTGTGAAGTAACTGGATTTGAGCTTGGAAAAGCATACCTTATTTTCTTTTTTAAATGAAAGACATGGATATTTTATCACTAAGTTATACATATTGTATCTCTAAATATAAACATTAATTGAAAAGTCAAGTGAGAAAACTAAATTTTCTGAGCAGCATAAGAGAAATTTGACTAAAACCAAATTCACAGATGTTAAGAAAACAAGACAAGTATAACAACTTCTTTGATCAAGAAACAGGTGTTGTACTTTACATTCTCTTTTCAGGGACCAGCTTTTCTTCCGTTGTCTGAGTATGCACCACCACCGAATCCAAACTCTGACCATCTAGTGGCTGCTAATCCATTTGATGACAACTATAATACTATTTCCTACAAACCACTGGCTGCATCAAATCTGTATCTGAGCCCTGGTTACCCTGGCTTTGGAGGATACAGCACATTCAGAATGGCACCTCACATCCCCCCGAGAATGTCCTCGCCTTACTGCGGCCCCTACTCCCTCAGGAATCAGCCACACCCATTTCCTCAGAATCCACTGGGCATGGGTTTTAGTCGACCTCATGCTTTTAACTTTGGGCCACATGATAATTCCAGTTTTGGAAATTCATCTTATAATAATGTACTAAATCATAATGTTAATATGCCTAATCAACATTTTAGGCAAAATCCTACTGAAAATTTTGTTCAGATTCTTCCACAGAATGCTAGCCAAGTATCTAATTCTGATTTTGTATCTAATTTTGTTCCTGGAAATAATTCAAATTTTGCTTCTCCATTAGAATCTAATTCTTTTATTCCACCCCCAAACACTTTTGGTCAAGGAAAAGGCCCCCCTCCAAAACAAGACTTTAGTCAAGGAACAACCAAAAACACTAATCAGAATTCTACCGCTCATGCCCCTCACTTAAATATGGATGACACAGTGAACCAGAGTAATCCTGAACTAAAAAATGCCAATCGAAACAGTGCAGCAAGTCAGGAGAACAGCAGGTCAAGCAGCGCGGAAGCTGCACACGGCAGCCACGCCAATGGGACGCAGAATAAGCCGCGACAGCCCAGGGCCGCGGTCGACGTGGGCCCCGCCGAGAAGGGCAGTCGGCCCTCGCTGCCCCCGGGCCGCCACGGCCACTCGGCGTCCGACCCTGTGTACCCCTGTGGGATCTGTACGAGCGAAGTGAACGACGACCAGGACGCCATCTTGTGCGAGGCCTCCTGTCAGAAATGGTTCCACCGCGTGTGCACGGGAATGACGGAGACGGCGTACGGGCTGCTGACGGCGGAGGCGGCCGCTGTGTGGGGCTGTGACGCCTGCATGGCAGCCTCGGACGTGCAGCTGATGCGCACCCGGGAGGCCCTAGGGCCCGCGGCGCAGGGGAGCGATGCCTGAGAGCGCGCGGACCTCAGCCCGAGTGCTGCTTGTGGCCTGCGTGTTAGGGGTCTGGCCACAGGATTTTAGTATTTGACATTATTTTTAAAATAGCACAGAAACATTATTTATCTTAGTTTTCCATTAATATTCTGCTTCGTTACTAGTTCAGGTTCTGTATTATCTTTGTTGGGTATTGTAAATGAGAATATTGTATGTGGGGGTGCGTTAGAAACATTTATAAATAGATGTTAGTAATTTATCCTAAACAAAGCCTCTTGAAGCTTCAAAATAATAATTACAGGCCAATGTTAACTTTTAAAAGTTAGAATCACTGAAAATTGTATATTTCAGTACTGACCTTTGGCCATGGCACATTAAATATTAAGTTCAAAAAGTTTTTCAAGATGCATTTAACATGTTTTTCAAATATAATATGTGTCTATAACATGGGGGACAGCATACATTTCAATGGATTTTTAGAAAATAATATAGTGTGATACCAGATCCCTCCCCCACTAGGGTCTTTAGAATTAGGGACTTTCTTTCATATGTTCAGGTTAGTCTTTCCAGGATATCTACACAGATATGAGACAGAGACAGATCGTAGCATATAGTAGATTTTCAGTGAGTACTTGCTTATAATTTGTGGACTGTACCACGTGAAATTGCTAGTATTAGATCAGTTGAAAATTGACTACAATAAGTAAACTTGACTACTTAAATTATGATAGCATTATGCTACTTAGAATTGTACTACTTAGAATTATGATCGCATTATACTCTTAATTTTTCTTTATTGAGTTGTTACTGCTTTCCAAAGAAATAACTAAATAACTAATTCCTCAGAGGAATTATGAACACTTTCATTTATATAATTTATAACTGGGACATATTGCAAAAGAGGAAAGTCTTAGAGGGCTCTGCTAACAAAAGAACTACTCAGTAGGAGCCGGGGATGTAGCTCACTGGCGTCTCGCCTGCCTGGCAAGCGCAAGGTCCTGAGTTCGATCCCCGGTACCACAAAAAACAAAACAATAAAACTACTCTGTAGTAGTGTGAAAAATCTTGGTATAAGGATCTGAATTTCTAAAGTGAACCTCAGAGAAGATCAAAATCCCATTTTAAATAAGGACCAATTAATAGCCAAGGTGAAACCTAACTTCCAAGGCCTCGCTGAAGGCTTGAGAGTTTCTCCTGTCACGGGAGAGTTTGAAAACGGACCTAGTAGTACACTACTGGAGAGCACCGACAAGAGTATGTTCAATGAGAATCAAAACAGCAAAAACCTCATTTTTAGAGCAGATTATAACCTGTGGCCAAATAAACATAAAGAAAGATACTGTATAGGGCCTGGGATGTAGCTCAGTGGTGCCACTGCCTGCCTCGAAAGTGCAAGGTCCCGAGTTTGATCCCTGGTACAAAAAAAAAAAAAAAGAAAAGAAACTATGATAGTCGACAGCAAGCCATACAATGGTTGGATGTTGACGAAGCTCCCTAATAATGCACCGCTGCAGTCACAGCGATCAAAAGTTCTGACAGCTATGGTGATCTGTTAAAGAGATAATTACTACAGTGTAAGAGCTGGGGATTTAACTCAGTGGTTCTGGCGCCTGCCTCGCAAGTGCAAGGATCCCGGGTACCAAAAAAAAGTAATTACTACAGTGTAAACCTGAGGGATGCAATGACAGCAGCAACATGTTAAGAAATTTAAATTGCATATATACATTTTCACTCACGAACATCCTTTGGTTACCAAATGTGAACCCATACTTTAACATGACAGGACTTTACCTCATGTGTCTCAAGCCACCCAAGCAAAGCCTGGACTGTGAAATTCTGTCACATCCCTCAAAGCCTCTGGACCTTTAGCTAAGAGATTGCCATGTTTTTCATCCTTTGGATCTTTTTCTAAGAAACAACACAGCTGGATGTGGTGGCGCATGCCTGTAATCCCAGCACTTGGGAAGCTGAGTTCAAGGCCAGCCTGGACAACATAGTGAGTTCAAGGCCAGCGGCTTGAACTACATAGAGAGACCCTGTCTCAAAACAAACAAACAAACAACACACTTCCCAATTGAGAAACAGTAACTGGAGGATTTGAACAATTTATACAGTCTAACAATAATTTTATGAAAATTAAAGATTTAATATCTTAGAAAAATGCTGATGCATATTTTGATGGAATAAAACTTATTTTTTTAAATAGTGTTTTAATTTTTACTTACAAAATAGCAATTTCATATGGTACAAGGCAATACAAGGTTTTCTCCACTTACACTTGACTAGAGATGAGTATAGATATTTTCAGTAGTTGTGTATGTATATCATCATGATTTTAGAAAATGAAATTCTATAAACCCCAACACTAGTTATTTGTTTGTGTGAAAATGTTACCAGTCGAAGCAGATTATGATGTAGTGTTTTGGACTGACTCTGGCATTGGTCTTCAGTGAAGATATGTGAAGATCCTATTTTGCTTACATTAAAATTTTTACTAGAGATAAATAATTCTATAAATGTGTAAGGACCTAGTTTTGTGGGTTTTTTTTTTAATCCTGTTGAGTGCTCATTTTTTGGGGGGGGGTACCGGGAATCGAACTCAGGACCTTGATGAATTTATGACTGCATTAGAACTAGATTTTGTTTTTTGGTACAGAGGATTGAGCCCATGGCCTCGTGAATGCTAGGCAAGCACTCTCCCACTGAGCTACATCCCCAGCCCACAGAAGTAGGTGTTTTGAGTAGAACCTTCCGATGCTCTCAGGAGTCCAAACTTCACATGGTAGTACTCAGTTGTGCTCATTGTTAAAATTGATTGTGCTTTTTATTAAAGTTTACTGCTTACAGTTTCAGTAGTTAGCTGTTTTTGTAAAAAATAAAACGGCTCTCCCAAGATAGTCTAAAAACATTTGATTTATAAAGTGATTCTTTCATTTTCTATTTTCAAACAATTATCTTAAAAACACACAGACCAGTGAATATTTATTCAAGTGTTTAGGTTTTCAAATCACCTTACTTAAGTAAGAATCTGTAAATATTCTAAAGAAAAACCATAGTTGATTCTGACGTGAGTCACAGCCAAACTGTAATCGCACCTAATGAAGGTTTCCATATGTTTGAATTTTCTTACTACTTCCACATTTATCTCTACCAAACACTTGTCCAAAATTACATAGATACTTTCGGGTAGGAGAAGTGGTGAACTATGAGAATGGCCAGAAAATTTGTTCTATTTCACCCAAAGAAGACTGTTAGGTGAATTGATAGGGCATTCTTAGGAAAAGCAGTGAGCTGCCCTCAACTTTAATAATATGCAGTGATGGAAAGACATATATGTAGAATTATACCTTTGGGGGCTATAATCCTTTTCCTTCCCTCAAAAAGGCCTCATCTCTTACACACTTAAATGCAAAGATACACAATTGAGTAGGAAACCTGAGTTTCTCCTACATTCTCAAGTTTTGCTGAAGTTCAGCCTATTAGCTCTAGGCTCACTCAGCAAGGACAGGTTACTGATGGATTTGCTCATTCGCTAAGGGATTCCTGGTCCACATGCTTCTAGATGTTATTGGATGTGCTAATATTAATAGAGCTTAGCTTATAAAGGAAATTGTTCTTCAAATGTACTATTGAGATTTGTGATCGGTGTTTTCCTTTTGAGTGAAATTCTTTAGTACTGCTAGTATGATTTTTGTAATCCAAATTAGGAGGTTATACACATGAACCTGAAGATTTTCTTGTACTAGCGCTTATGCTTCATAACTAAGCACAACGTAAAAGAAACCCATGCTGGGCTTTTTTAAAAGACTCCCAACTGAGCCTAGTGGTAGAAAAAAAAATAGAATGGGTCACCATGGAATCTGCTGACTTTAATCATCCACATAAGATAAGTATCAAGAGTCTTCATTTAACTTATGCATCTTGAACAAATCAAAGTGCTAGTTCTTACTGTTCAACATACTTATTGTATTTAAAAAGTAAAAACAATGTAAGTAAAAACTATAAATGATTTTTTAAAAGGAAGTTCTAATGTGTTTTGGATTTTTTTCCAGTGTACAGAGGTTTTATATGCATGAACATTTGTGCTGTTTTAGGTATTTTAATTTAAAAAGTTGAAAAGCATCCAGGCTCCCGATGTTCATTTGTAAATAGTGGCTTGGAACTCAATATAAATGATAAGATTCTTAGGGAAGCTCATAAAGACTTAGCTAACCCATAGTGCAGTTAACTATTGTTATCATGCTAAGTTCTTAGTTTTCTTTAGTGAACCAATCAATGTAAGAGAAAGAAGCTGAAATCTTTCCTTTTTCCTGATGTGATTAGGAAGGTTAAGTTCTTAATGTGGATTCTTTCCCAGTTGCCCTATTACCATCTAAACTTTCTGGTGAAATGCTGTATAAACAGGCTTGGCTTTTCCCCTCCTGGAAGCTCCATGCTTCAAAATTTCCCACCTTTCCTTTGATGAAATTCTATTTCTTGTGTGATATCAGTTGGCTACATTTTTTGGGGGGGTACCGGAGATCGAACTCAGGGCCTTGGGATTGCAAGGCAAGCAGCAGAACCACTGAGCTAAATCCCCAGCCCAGTTGGCTACATTTTAAGAGAAAAGCATTTTTTTTTCTGCTAAAATATGAATGAAGGTAGCAGGAAAATGATACTAAATTTTCTTTTTTAAAAAGGGATCTTTAGAATGAATCTTTTTTTTTTTTTTTTTTTGGTACTGGGGATTGAACTTGGGTCCTTGTGCTTTCAAG